GAAGGAGAGAGACTATTGATGGAAGTGGAGGTATGGCTCAGGTGGTACTGTGCCAGCCTTGAGTAAAATAAAGCCAAGCAAGAGTGTGAAACCCTGAGTTCATGCCCCGAGAGAGTGTTGGAGCTACTTGACTCTTTCATGAGCAGCCATAGATGGTGTGTATGGTCAGTATGTCCTAATGAAAGCTCGTTAGTTCCACTAACATTCAAGCACAGTTAACACCTTCTGTCTCTATTATGTTGTATTCTTTGTAAACTCAAAATCTTTTTTTTTTTTTTGGTTGGTCATGGGGCTTGAACTCTGGGCACTGTCCCTCAGCTCTTCAGCTCAAGGCTAGCACTCTACCGCTTGAGCCATAGCACCACTTTCGTTTTTTTCTGCTTATGTGGTGCTGAGGAATCAAACCCAGGGCCTCATGTAGGCAAGGCAAGCACTCTACCACCGAGTCACCTTCCCAGCCCTCAAAATCTTTTTTTAATTAAGGGGAAACCAGATCTGAAAATCCTGCTAGTTCAACTCCTTTTCTGATGTCTGGACCCCTTTAACATCTCTCTGATAAGACTTGTTCTGGGCCCTTTGCTTGGAAATCTTACACTCTCATCTTCTCTGACATGAAGGGAGGGGCCTGGAAGAACAGAAACGTCCAGAGAATTCCACTGGAGGTTTTAAGTAGATAGCCCAGCAATGTAGAAACCAGTGCTGCCGGAATGGCAAATGTCTCATCTTTTCATTCCTCACGCCACTTAATACACATCTCAAAAGAGAGACGCCACAGTAGATGAAAGTGACAGGCACTGACTGGCTTGAAATATCGCAGGAAAATCTGGTTTAAGATTTTTCTAGGAATTGATCCAAGACACAATTTTTCTTTCTGCCTTACGATCTGTTAAAAGACACAGGAGATAAGTTGGACTCCTTGAAGACATACATATTGATATGAAAATAGACTCTTGGCAAGTCATCTTGAAAAGGGAGGCAGCATTGAGGGAGGGGAAGGAATGTTTGTTAGTGTAGAAGTGGGAACCTTTCTGTCTTGTTGCCTGACCTTCTTAGGAAACCCACCTTTCCTTTGAACTTTGCTGTGAATGGATTCTGTATCTTTCATGCTGGAGCTCGAGGCTGCCACACTGGGACTGGCTCACCGTAGTTTCTGTCTCTCTTCAGTTCCTCTGTAGAGGGTAGGAGGTTATTTGTTGTTTTTGTGCTGACCACAAAAAAAGAGAGGCCCTGGAGGTAGAAGACAAGATTTGTATCCCTTTTGTAGTGAGATGATTTGGGGCGAATGTCAGAGGTTACTGAAAGCACCAGAACAAAACTGGGATGAGTGCGTGTTGGAGAGACCCCAAGGCCACGCTGCTGTGCCTCGCAGGTGAACACACTTGCCTGTTTTGCGTGTCACAGAATCCTTTTAGAGTAGCAAAGATCACTTAATCACTTTTATTTGTAGCTTAGAATTGGCCCCCCTTACATGCTGCGTTGGAGGTGAAGTGATGCCAGGCACCAGTGGTTCATGCCTGTCATTCTAGCTACTCAGGAGGCTGAGATCTGAGGATCATGGTTCAAAGTCAGCTTGGGCAGAAAAGTCCAGTGACTCTTATCTCTACTTACTGGGCAAAAAAGCCCGAAGTGGAGCTGTGGCTCAAATTGCTCCAGCCTTGAACAGAAAAGCTAAAGGATAGCACAAGGCCCTAAGTTCAAGCCCTAGTACCAGAATTAAAAAAAAAAAACCAAAAATGGACCAAAGTCTTAGACTCTGACTTCCCACTCTTCCCTTCAGGAGTTCCTCAACTGCAGGGATTTGTGTGTCCCTCTCACCCAGCCTGGCCAGTTTCTGGACCCTGGGATGAGTCTCTGGCCTGCTCAGAGGTGCAGCCTTCCACCTCCTTTTGGCCAGCTGCCTGAAGACTCCCCGGTGCCTTTCTAGAGGATGTGGTTTTAACCCTTTGCTATTGTAAAAGTAGTTAGCAGGCTGATGCTTGTCAAGCGATAGAATTCTTCCTTCTGCTCTAAATTATGGAGGAAGTGCCAAGTCTGTTCTGAGTCAGAACAGAGTCATCATCACTCTGGGTATCATGGGAGTGGGGAGACCTGACTGCCATCCTCTCCTCCTGTAGGCCATAAATCTTGGGTAATTCATGTTTGGTATAGGGACAGAGGAGGGACATAGACAAATCCTTTGTTTCCTGTAGAGGAGCCTCTTCTGGAACCTTTTAACTTCCTAACACTGTAGGGAGAAAAGCAGGAGGCCATGTGCCCACAAAAGCTAGCCATTGTTCAGCCCTCAGCACATGTAGGAATGATTAGCAAGCTCTTTCCACCAGCCCTGAAGAGCCCTGCCTTCCCTGACTCTGGGCACTCCAGCCAGCAAGCGGGGTTCACTCACTTTGGTGATGGTTGTATATAAGCTAGCATTTTCTCTCACCGACTGCAAAACAAATCAGATTTTTCATGGCTTCTCCAAACATTTGTAATAATGAGTTTTCTTGGAATGTCATTCTTTGGTCTGCCAGCTGATTATTATTTTCAGAGGACACTAATGACAACCCAGAAGCAATGTCTACAAAACCCCACATTAAGGCAAACCTGCCATTCAGGTAATGACTGCCGCCCACTGGAAAAACAAGCCTAGCATGGTTAGGGGAAGGCTGGGTAGCAATGCCTGAATGCTTTGGCAGGGTGGAGGCCAATTATAGGAGCCAATGTGGTAGAACTGGGCACGGGGGCATGGGTTGCTTTCTGCAGTTTTGGTTGAGTGTGGGAGAAATTTCAAGAGGGTAGAAAGAGTGCTCCTGGAGACACACGCTTTCTTTCAGCTCAGATCAATTTCCTCATCTATAAGACATGCAAAGGTGGTAATTATTAGATTATGCACCATGATGATGGCTGATGGGAAGTACAGCCAGGCAAAGGGACTCTTTTGCATATTTTAATTTGCTGCTCAGAATTTTTTTTTTTGGTCGGTCTTGGGGCTTGAACTCTGGGCCTAAGCGCTGTCCCTCAGCTCTTCAGCTCAAGGTGAGCGCTCTACCACTTGAGCTACAGCGCCACTTCCGGTTTTCTGGTGGTTTATTGGAGATAAGAGTTTCACAGACTTTCCTGCCCAGGTTGGCTTTGAACCACGATCCTCAGATCTCAGCCTCCTAAGTAGCTAGGATTACAGGCGTGAGCCACCAGCGTCCGGTGCTGCTCTTAATTTTAAGAACTTCCTTCTTTTGTCTTCCTAGTCAGTGACTTGTTCTGCATTGGGCCTCGGTAGGTGGCTAATGAGCACTTCATTGACTGTTTATTCTAACACTGCACATGGCATTACAAATTTCTTTTTTTTTTGTGGTGTAATGTTTTCATTTTTTATTGTGAAAATACTGTACAGAGGGGTTACAATTACATGGGCAAGATAATGAGTACATTTCTTATCAAGCATTGTAGCCTCCTCCTTTGTT